ATGTTTGGGTATCCAACTTCCTGGTGCAACTTGATTTGGAAGTAAAACTTGTGCCATTAGCTAGTTTATGAAAAGAGCTTTTTATAGACATCTAAATCATCTCATTCAGATGTTTGACCGAGAAATGAGGTATGTCGAAGGTTGCTTGAATTTGTTGTCAAATAATAGCAAAATTTGCTGTCATGAGCATGCAACATGCCATAGCGTGTCACACAAAGAGTGACAAGCCATAGCATATGGTGCATAAGTCACGACACATTGCTCTGTTTTTAACAACTTGAGATTTGTCAACTATTTTCAACTCCTTTCTCTCCTATGAGGTATCTCATGCTTCCGTAACATGATTTTACTTTGATTATTGGTTTATTGATTGGGTTTGACTCATTTTAAATTATGAAAACTGAGGATTTTATTATTTCAAATTACAAACTGGGTAATCTCTTTATGAGTTAATCTCTTAATTACTATGGATTTAGAAAGTTAATTGTGTTTAGTAAGGAAGGTTGTTTCATCTAGGGTTGAGTTAGGAATGAGTTTTGAGCAGATCAAGGTAAGAATTGGAGATAAATGACATGATGTTAGGACTTAGGATTATTTATCCACCTTGTATTTTATAACACCAAAATTATCTCCTCTCATCAATGCTTTTAATGAAACTAAGTGCTAACCTAAGGCCCTAAAAATATTTAGACGAGCTCTCTCAAGTCATGAACAAGTGTTTAGTTAAATTAATTGTCCAATATCTTATTGTAATTAATAAAACTCAATTTTAAACACTAACCCTAATGTAGTTATGCAAGGCTAGCAAGTATATCTCTATCTGACTAGCAAAACTATCAATTCAATATGCAAATATCAAGTTCTTGCACTATTCTACCTAAGTTCTACACTCAACCTAGCCATCTCAAGCATCAATCAAGTGAACCCAACATCTAAAATCTGCCTTTTGCATCCAAGTATCTAATTTTTGCATACAATGTTAGACTGTAAATAAACTTGTAACATTAGCTAGACTATCGAATAAGTTTTGTGTGGGAACTTAAATCACTCTAATTAGATGTTATATGTAAAAATGACACACATTCAAAGTTCGCTCTGAAAACTTGTCATGACAGCATTTTACTTTTATGATAGTTGTAACATCCTAAATTTCTTAATTTTGAAACTTATTAATAATAGGGGTGAATTAGTAAATTAGTGTGTGATTAAGGTTTTAGATGGTGAAATGTTATTTTGACTCTTTGGGATGTTACATGGACAGATTAGAGTGGGAGAATAACATTGCAAAGTAGAGTATGTGAAGCACAGTGAGGAAATATGTTGCGAAGTAGAGCATGTGAGCATAGTTAGAAGTTTCCTTATTGTGCCACATGCTAAGGCTAGTGCTGAATGCACCGCAGTGCATGGTATAGAAATCTAATAGATAAGGACGTGTATTAGCTTGTAGAGAAAGAGGAAAAAGTAAGAAAAACGCACAAGAGAGTGGAGAAGGAAAGGACCTCTATTAGGGAAAATAATTCCAAGGGCTAGCATGACGTTTCTAACTTGCTACTTATTGGGTAAGTCTTGTACTGCCTTAATCTCTAACTCTACACTATTTTCTCTTAGTTTAAACTATTAGGAATTTGAATTTTGAAGTTTTAAGGGGTTGATTTATTATTTCATAATAATAAAAATGCTCTTTGAAGTTAAATTAGGGCTTTGTGACTAGTTTGAGCTTTAATGATAAAAGCTTTGAAACTCTAGACTCAAATTAGTCAAATTTATAAAGAGAAAATAGGTGAGATTTGGGAATAAGAGTGTTAAGGTTGCAATAGGTGACATGTAAGGTTAGAAAAGTAGAAATGGGCTTAAAGAAGGAAATTGATAGCATTTAGGTGTTTAATTATTGAAAGTAGTACTGTCAGTTAATGTGGTAATTGACTCTAGGTGCTCCTTAATTGTGTAGGTTAATGTGTGACACGTGTGAGTATAAGTGAAAGGAACTCAAGTAGAGAAAGTGTACGATGGGTAACCTTTATTAAGAACAGAAGGGTTAAGATAACCATATAGTTTGTTATGTTTGTTAACCATTATAACTGTGTAGAAGTAAATGTGTAAATTGTGATTATAATGTTTGTGAGTTTCTATGCATTGTTTTGCAATATGCATGGTTTTGGCATTTACAATGGTTTTGAAATGCTTGATGTATGACTATTGATTTTCAAACAAAGTAGATATATATACATATATTGTGTAACATGTAGAAAAGCGGTGATTTATGTGTGTTAAAAACATGATCATAATAAGTGGGAGTTCACCCTGTGTGTATGTAGGTGTGGGTGTAAACAAATTCATACGATTGAGTTGGCACCATGGGATATCTGGTATAGCAAATTATATCAGGCCGGCGCCATTGGACATCTAATGCAGCATTATATTAAGATTGTTACCATGGGACATTTGAGCAATTTGGCAACTCTTTATTGCTCGTGAGGGTACAGTTAGGAGTCAACAACACTCCTATCATATATGTGTGTGAAGGGAGAAACTGTAGTCTGAAAGTGGGATAAAATACCTTTAGTTGGGTGTTTATATCACTAAAGATATGCTTAGGTAAATATGCAATTAATCCACTAGAGCCTATGGTTTCAAGTAGAGGAGTTTTGGAAGATTGGTGGATAGATGATCATACTAGTGGATGTGATTGTGTGGAAATGTTCATAAAGAGAAAAATTATGTTTATATTTAATATCTAAACTATTGCTTTGATTTGGTTTACTTATATGTGGTTATTTGTATTAATAAGCATTTAATGAACTATTTTGGTTATTGAAATTATTATCTCACTCATGGTTATTTATATTTTTATAGGTTTTGACATTAGTGGCGCCAAAGGGAAAGATACAGACCGAGACTAGAAGATATCTCTTTCTAGGTTCCTAATTGTAAGGGGTAGGTGTAATGAATTTGTATTATATAAGTTATGTGATTGTATATAGTTGCCATAGGGAATATATTATTGTGCATAAGCTTGTGAATGCGAATCTGTGTATGATTTTGTGTCCTAGCCCCATTGTATGTATTTATGCGTGTTTGAGGAGAATATGATAGAGTAGGCTAGTGATTTGTTATAATTGCATGTGAATGAGATTGAGCTTTGATGAAATGAGAAAGTTGGCTAATGAAGTGAATTTATGTGAAAATATACAAGTCTGCCTAAGTTTGTGTGAAGTAGGCAGTTCATTAGCCAAACTTGTATGTATGTGTGATATTGTGTATATAAATGGTCAATTAGATTTTAATTGTCCCATTAGACATGGTCAAGGCTCTAAAAGTGGTCAATGACTTATGGTTTCAAATTGTGATGCTCAAGTGAAAGACTTTGACTTAAAACAATCAACTCGTACTTGGGTGTTCAATTTTTAAAGGAAATATCATATTCAAATGAAGCCAATGTCATTGGCTAGATTTTGAAACAAGCTTCCTGTAGGCACTTGAATCACCTCAATTGGACATCGGATGTAAAAACGGTGCACATTGAAAATTCACATCAAAACTATTGTTTTGATAGTAGAAATTGATGTGTGCGCTGCGATGCATGACACAAAGCCAATGCCAGTGCCTTTATGCCACATGCCATAGCGCATGTGGCACATGTCGTGGTGCATGGTCCTGCTTGTCCTAAATATGTGTCTTTTGAAATACATATTCTTTGAGGTTTTCACATGCATGATTGTATTGCTTTTGCTGTGTATCACTTTGCAATTTGAATGCTTTTAAAAATGGTTTTTGAATGTTCTAAGTTAGGATCCCAACCCTTTTAAAAGATTTTGATTGATAATTAGTAGGTGTTTGAGGATTGAAGAGTAATGTTGGAAAGGGCATTACAATGGTGGCATGTGCACCATGATGCATTTCACACATGCCATAGCACACGACATGAAGGGCAATTCACCCTTTTCGTGCCACATGTTGTGCATTTATGCTAGCATGTGTTAAAAAAGGAGATATTTTTGACCTTGTTTTCCTATGTTTTGGTTTGTTTCTTTTCATACTTCCTATACTTCTATAAACCATTAAATTTGAGCTCAAACATTATTTTTGAAGGGATTTTAGGATCTTAAAGGTTTTTAATTGTATTTCAAATTATTAATTAATTTAACCCTTCTATGATTACGGTAAGTTTAGAAGGAATTAATGACTCTTAATTATCGTTGTATGTGGTGATTATGAGTAACATCAAGGCAAATATTACAAATGTACCCCTCTTAGGCTAAATTATAGCCTACCAAAACATTCCATGAGTGCAATAATCACTAGTAGGCTTAATCTGCATTATTTTACTTTATTCTTCCCATTTTACCCCTGATTTGTTTGAATATATTTTGTTTAAAATTTAAGATGTTACATAAGGTCACCATATGCCCACAGAGGCGATTGAAACCTGAGACCAATATTATTCTTTATGATTACACCTCGTCTGGTTGTGGCTAGTTGATTCTAGATTGGATTTGTGAAGAATGTGGGATGGAATCTATGAAGGAGAGAAGGAAGAGTTAGGAAGAAGAAGGATGATGAAGAGGAAGAGAGAGAATACTTGAGTTTTTATTATCTAATCTTATGATCTATTTTCTCTTCTTTATTATTTTGAGCTTGAGTTTCTCATCACGAGAGAAAATACTTGAGTTTCTATTATCTAATCTTATAGTCTATTTTCTTTTCTCTATTATTTTGAGCTTGAGTTTCTCATCACCTAAATCTATGTCAGAAGAGGATGAGAGGGAAGGAAGAGTGAAGAAGAAGAGAGAAAGAACATCAGTTGACTTTGGAAGGGCAAATAGGTCATTTTTTCAAGAAGCATAATTGCAAATGAAGTCTTCGAGTCTAGAGTAATATCAAATTCTCTTGGGTTTTTTCTGGGCCTGAATGCGATGCTCCAAAACTGAAAAAGCGATTCTCCAAAAAAAAAAAAAAAAGAAGCCCAGCGTGCCCGACTGAGACTGCACTCGACGATATTCGTCCGAGCCAGGGCTCACGCTCACAGCAGCGAAAGCTCTATCGAATGGTTCGAAATGTCATCCATATTATGTGCTTCGTCTCCACCTTCAATTTCCCAATCCTCCTGCCTGCTCCAAACACTTACTCACTCCTTTCGCTGCGATAAACCCACTTCCCTTTCATGGTCTTGTTCATTTCCCAAGATCAACATCAGCATAGACCCTATCGCAAATCGTCCCAATCATTCTCTGAACAATGTAAGTGCCAAACCTTAATCTTTTTCCGCCTGGGTAAATAATTTTTGAAGCCCCTGTGTTTGCTTGGAAATATAATTTTCGGATTGTATATTTAGTTAAGTGGACTTTTGAATTTGATGCTAGCGCTGATTCATTTGTCCTTTGTTCTTTTCGTTTCTGCTTTTGTAAACAGAGTGGTTGTTGTTTTACTCTGTTTTAGATTATTATCTTCCATTCTTCCTCCAGCTCCAGTTATTTGGAGTTAGTCCAATTTTGTTTGCAGAATTAGTAATTCTCTGTCTATTGGCTTTTGTGTAAGAAATTAGTACAATCTTTTGGCAAGAATATGATAGTAAGAATCTCTACGAAAATAATGCCTTACAGAAATTTTAATAGATTTAACTAAAGAGAATGCAAGTACAAGTCAACCACGTCCAAAGTCAAAACTTCAATTCAAATCACCTCATTTCGGGAATTTGACTCCAAGAATATGATCTAAGCTACAATGTGTGTCCGGTAGTTGTGCTTAGTATTGAATAGAAGAGAAGTTTTTGGAATCTTAATTTGAACTTATGTTCAGAATGGCTGCCATGATTTTTGTATGGTTGACATTTTTCATAAACAAAACATGCTCGAAAGTACACAAAACTTGTGATTGAATAATATAAAATCTTTTTTAGAGATGATAATAAAACTACGGAATGATACTTGTGAGTTGAACTGATACTTGACGTGGTATTTTTTATGCTAAGACCAAATGGCCAAGGTTCAATTCTTGTCATCCACATTCTTCATAATTGGGGTCTTGTATTGTTCGCACACTTTAAAACCTAAAACCAAAGATATTTTATATGTTGGGATGTGTTGAAGATTATAACATAATTGAGCTTTTGTAATTATTCTGACCTCTGTTAAAACCAATTGAAACAGATGGTAAAGAACCAGATTCTTTGAGTGACGCGATATATATGATTATCTTTTTGCTAGTGAAGTGTTTTTTTTTTTTAATAAGATAAATATATGAAGACACTTGTTGCTTTCAAAATAGCGAGAAAATCTATAACAAATGGCAAATGGTCTATGCAGAAACTTAAAAAGGAAGATCTAGAACCCTCTGTTCCTAACTATTTTTCATTTTTAGATGAGTTTGACAGCTGTTGTTACTTTATTGGGTTTCAGGGACCAGACAATAAGATACAGCAGGTCACAAAATTGTCTCAAATCTTGACCTTTACATGTCACAGTGCATATTAGGGCTGCTTATTTTCTCTAGTTGACTGGTATATGGGTTGCTACTTCACCATGACATTTTATATGTGGATTCAAGTTTTCCTTCCTCGAGTCTAAGATGATTATCAGATTAGTTTATAGCTTCTCCCTGTCTGCTAATAGATAGACCATCTTGGAAGTTAATTTGGTTTATTGTTTTACTTGAGAACAACTATGTTCTGTATCTTAGACCCTTGAATGGTTGGGAAAACTGGGCTGCCTCTTGATTATGCAAAGATTAAGATGCACATGGCCTATTATTGTACTATTATTAGCTCCTAGCCTGCTGCAGTCCTCTCCAAAAGTAGTCAGCAACAGCATTTTCCTGAGATTTTAGTGTTAAATATGCCAATGCCATGCAAGAGAAACAATTTTTGGCAATTAATTCCTAAAATCAGTATCCCTTTTTGTTTAAAATGTTTCCTTATGATTAGCTTGTGTACATTTTTCTGCATTATCCAATTATGCACGAGACATAATGTGTCATAATGTTAAGAATGTTTAAATATTTCATCTATTATAGAGTGGTAAAAAATGTAGAAAAATGTTTTGAACCAAATCTTTTTGTCTTCTTTTGCTACAATTTTTGTTTATCATGTCCTTACTTCTGTCTAATGTGTGAACCTTAACTCTATAAGAGTCGGAATTGTTGATTAATTGACATCCTACAATATTTGATCATGTGAAAGTATGAAATTAGATGTAATTAAGTTAAATGCAATTAAATTTCAACCTTCTAAGCTTATTAAATTGCCTAAATTGAACCATAAGATCAATAAAATAAACCTGTACATTTACTTGGAAAAGTCCTTTCATAATCCCGCAAAGAAAAGGATTAATGCTACCTAAGAGTAACTTAAACTAGCTTAGAGTCCATTGTAGCTTAGTCATAGTTAACTACACTTACAGGTTATAACGGTCCTTCCTTCAACTAACTTAGTTTCAATTGACTACGTTCCACTTAGCATCAAGTACAACTCGGAATATCTACTCTTGAATTTAATTGACAAGTTGTAATTAATTCTCTTTTTGTTAGTCTTTGAATGATGTAAGAAAAGAGCCTTCAACTTAACCATTCTTTAAGAAATTCATATACATGTCCAAAAATATTTAGTCCTTCCAAAATGTTCAATTTAGGTTTATGCATGCCTAAAGGCTAGAATCTTCAAATTATTCAATTTAGAAACATTTTGTGAAATTCAAAATCTGGCTTTCCTTTTTTTTCTTTCATTGATTTTAAGATATGTACATTTTTCTTCCCTGAAAAGCTCTTAAAATCACCAAAATCAGCACGGAACATCCTCTATGTAATGTGCTTGCTTGTTCTCTCCGTGCAATTCTTTTCTCATCAAAACAGGATTCAAACCATGTATGCTATAGATATGAATGTATCTTGATTAAAATGGGTTCAGGTGTAGCAGCTGTTTAGTTTCTTGTGAGTTGTCGTAATCAGTTTAGTATTTGGCATTTTCATTTTTCCCTTACCTTTTAATGATTCTCTTTGTCCTACTCATTGTAAATTCCTTATTATATTTTCTTCTTTTGCCAGAAACAAAAGTATTTGCTGAACTTTCACTACCTATTGTAACTTTCTATTTGTGTATGCGGAATTTAGCTATCCTTGTTTCTCCTGGATAATTTAGTTTTGCTGCTTTCATTTTGTAAGTTTTTTTTTTTTTTTTTTTTTTTAACTCTGAACTATTTGGTTAAGAAAATAGTGATTCCTCACATCTATACATATTTGTTCCGTTTCTTATCACACACACACAACTATATGTATACATATTTGTTCTGTTTCTTCTCTCTCTCTCTCACTCATACACACACACACACACACTATATGTGATATGAGATATGGAAAATTCTATTATAGGAAGAAATGATGTTTTAAATTATTTGTGTTTTGGCAAGTAGCAGAATATATTCTAGTGCCTTTATGCTTTTTGGTCTTATTTTATCATATTTTGAATGTTTCCTTCGTAGGAAGGGAATGTTAGGATCTTATTTTGGTCTTCCTTCATGTGAAGGAAATCTTACTTTATAAATAGCAGCTAGGCAGCACTTGTATTCAGGCTTTTTGGATGAATTAAATGATTACTTACTCAGATAATTACTCCCACTTCCTCCTTCGACCTGTCTCTTCCTCCACTCTTTCTCTTCTTTGTATCTTTCTCCCTCCTCTCTGTTTCTATATTTCTTCCTATTTTCTACTCTGTTAGCATCTGTGGCAGAGAGAGAGTGTGTGTGTCACATCAATATGTGTACATACTTGTTCTGTTTCTTGTTTTTTACATGTTCCAGGAACTAGGGTATGTGGTATCATGGGACTGTGACAGGCGTAATCTCTTGATTATGTGCCTTTTCCTTTTAACAGATTTTTATATACATTAATGTAGTGTTTGGATTAATGGATTTAGATATGGATTTTAGATTTGAAATCTTACATTTCAAACCTCATATTTAAAATTCATGTATTTAAAATTCTTTATTTGAATAGTTTATAAAATTTCAAATGAAGAACATAAATGAATTGAAATTCGAAACAAAAATAAAAAACTAAAAATGATGAGCTTATTTCTATTTTTTAATTGATAAGAGATGATCAAAGATACGAAAGTTATAGGGGTATCAATAGTAAAAATATTAAGAGAATGAGATGTTGGAAGTGATTAGAATTTCAAATGACTAGGTTGTAGAAAGAATTTGAAATTACAAAGGAATTATAATATAAAATGAATTTGTATTTGAATCAAATTTAAATTCATAAATTTTTTGTATATGGATTTAGTTCCAATCCAAATCCTTATAAATCGAAACACACCATAAATGGTTTTTAATTTCTGATATTCCTCTTCTCTCTTTGCAATATGATTATTCCTCACTTCTGAAGAAAGGTCATTTTTTCAACTATCTTTCGTTAAACGTGTTTTTCCCCTTAAAATATGCATATATGGTTACTTCGTCTGCTAAGAACTCCATAAATTTAATTATAGATGCTATTGTGACTCTGCATTCACATTCCCATGTGTGGGATCTTAACTTAATTTTTGTGCAGAATCATGGCTTATTTTAATAATAGATGATCTGCACTTTTGTTTCTGTAACATTATAGTTACATAATTATTACTGGAATATACTTGGTCTTATTTATGTATATATGTATGTTCTATGAAATGTTCTGATAGAACTGTGTATTGAACTGACTCTATGTTTTCTTTGGAAGTTGAGTTGATTACGTCGGGAATAATTCCACATGTTAGTGACAGAATTTTTTTTTTCTCTGTTTTTTTATATTCTATCATCCAATATCTTGGAAAACCTAAGGGTATCATTACCTTTTGCCTGGACTAATCTGAATCCTCTGTGTTGGACCATTATTATCAATGATGGCATCAAGGGTACTTTAAAAATACTTTTGGCATATTTATTTAATGCGAATATATATCTCAGGGTTAGAACTTGAAACCTCAGAATAAGCTGATTCAACTCTTTCAATCAGTTGAACCAAGCACCCCTCGGTGTTAGTGATAGGTTTTTGCTAACATGACTTAAGAAAGCAAATTAATTTTTATCTGCCAACATCTGTAGGGTTCCTTCATTCAAGCTGCATGGACTCGAAGATCGCGCAGCGAAGCTGCAAAGAAACCTAATAGGAAATCATGGAAGCAGAGGACAGATATGTACATGAGGCCATTCTTATTGAATGTTTTCTTTTCAAAAAGATTTATTCATGCCAAAGTGATGCACCGAGGAACGAGCAAAGTCATTTCAGTTGCCACCACCAATGCTAAGGATCTTCGAAACTCTCTGCCATCCTTGACTGATCATAATGCTTGCAGAGTGGTAGGAAGGCTTATTGCTGAGCGATCAAAGGAAGCTGATGTGTATGCAATGGCTTATGAACCAAGGAAAGATGAAAGGATTGAAGGTAAACTAGGCATAGTTCTTGATACCATTAAAGAAAATGGAATCATATTTGTTTGATTGACTGTATTCGCCATCACTTTAAGTGTCTTGTGGATGTATCTTTTTTTTTTTTTTGAATGGGTGTGGATGTATCTTTCAAAGACTTTATAATGTATAAATTCTTAGAAGTTTTTCTGATTGCCTTTGGTAACACCTGCTTTCAAGTCACATGCTTTATTCCTAGAAAAGGGGCGGAAACAAACTAAAATTGAGAATAGTTGCTTTGAAGAGCAAAATTGACTCAGAATATTATAATTCTTAAACGTTGAACACTTCACGAACATTATGTTTCAGAGGATGGCCAAAAGGAATACGTTACGTTAGATGTTTCGAGAGAAATTTGTGGTGTTTGGTTGAGATCTGAAGAGAAACTTGCTACCTAGGGGTAATAATTTTGTGGTTGCCTGTGTAGAGAAGCTAACAATTTTTTTGGCTTCTGGGCGATCAGCGTTTCTCTCTTTGTTCCCCCGTTTTCTCTTTTCGTTTTCGTTTTTCGTTTTTGATAATTTTTCTCTTTTTGGTTTTTTGGACATGCTATATTAAGTTGAGAGAATGACATAATCTCAAAATTGAGTGACAGTTAAGTTTCTGATAATTTTTTTTTTTTAAATAAATTGTAAATATTGATTGAAATAGTTATAAATAGGAATTCCTACTACAAATTGAATTATATTTAAAATTTAATATCTTGTTTGCAGTGAGAATTTTTGAATTTATGATTGATTGAATTTATGTTGGTCTTTAATGTCATTATCTATTAACTTTCGTTCCCCCAAATGATCGAGCATCAAGTTTAAAGGTAATTAGTCAAAGATGAGTTAAAGACAATATTTAAAACATCAAATTGAAAAATAGAACATTTTGATCTTCGCTCCCATTTTAAGGAAAACATTGGGGGAAAAAAAACATGAATTTGAATTTTTAACAAAGCAAAGAACACATCATACATAAGTTTCGAATAATCAAATTTTTTATACCAAAGTTCTGCGAATTGGGATAGTATATTCGACTTTTTGGCTTGCAAATTTGAATATTTGACATAACCAGAGAGCACATCTTATGAGAACTAAACAACTTTGGAACATCGGGCACAATAATATTTGAATATTGAGCAAAGGAAGTACAGAAATTGCACTGCTCATAATGCATTTTCTTTACCAATGATAAAATTTTTGCACTCCTACTTTCCTACTCTGTTTCTTCAATAAAACTAGTAGGAAAATCACAAAACAAATCTAAGAATCCTCTATATTTAAGTAATAAAAGTATTTAATAGAATAATAATCAAAACGCAAGATCAATCAAAGAAAAGAGATTGAGACAAATTTACAGCTTATTAAATTCACAGCCCCCAATCATCTTGTGATAATTAATCTTCTACCAACACCATAAATGTTTCATGAAGACGTTAGCGAAATGAATCTTAGCTGGAATAAATACCAAGCAACATCCTTCTCCTGTACATGATCTCAAATGAAATGATGTGCCTCCATATGCTTTGTTTTAGAATATTGAACGAGATTCTTTATTAAATTGATAATACTTATATTGTCACACTTGATGAGAATTTCTTGTAAGTAGATTTTTAAATCTCCAGTTGTTTCGTGTGTGTGTGTGGGTGGGTGTGGGTGTGTGTAGTTTTCTTCCTAGCAAAGTTAGGAACCAAATAGTTTATTAAGTCACCATTTTCTCCAATTGACGATTGAAGGGTTCTAACCAATTAACTAAAAATTCTCGACTGCTACAAAGCGTGACTTTTTGAGATTTGCTAGGAATAATGTACGCGTGTAAACACTACTACCTGATGTCTGGTTTGCTAATTGTCAAATAAGGTAGAGATCAAATCATGCCCTCTATACTTGGTTTGATCAAATGGTGTTCCCCCTTCACCCGTGTCCAACTTTGTCAAACTACTGATGGGATCAGTGATTCATGAACTAGTAGCACATTCGCTTGTTCTTTATAAAAACATAATAATGAATCAATATCTTTATCAAGACAATAATTGACGTGATTCTATAAAGTAGTACAACATGGTTGGCACTTGCCCTTTTTTGAGAATTTGCAACTTTGATGTGCAGCTAGCATTACTCTTTTTATTCATAAAGTGGATACAATGTACAATGTCAGAAACCCCCACCTTTGGGGGGTGGTGATGGAGATAAAGAAAAGAAGATCCTACTCAATTGCATAAAAAAATACATAGATATGCTGGTTCTTTCTTTTACCATGTCTCTTTCCGTCATTTCCCCTCATTCAGTAAGATATCAGTTTGTCCGTATGGCATGTGAGCTCCATTTCATTGGCAAAAGGCTGAGTTGTTTCTACTCCATATCTTTCACAGCATCCTGCAGCATAGCACATAAAAGGATCACTTAACAAATAAACACACACACATCAATAACAAGATTGGCATACTTTTAAGGGGAAGTGATGAGTAAATACCTCATAAGAGGATTAATGCCAAATCACGATTTTTTTTTAAAATTTGAGTACTGAATTTGGGAACTTTAATTGTGAAGAGATCCTAACTTGACATTAATTTTCTTATAAGGTCCTCATTTGTCATTGTCCCTTTTTTAAACCCCCTCCTAGAAGTAAGACCTAACCAGCCACCTTGTTAGTCTTATGTGGGAAAAGTGAGATGAAGTGCAGGGCGAGATAAGATGTTAGTAACAAAAATTAAGACCTAATTAATTGTTATCAGAACATTAAAACAGAATAAAACAGTCCAAAAATTTGGATTTAATGTTCGCATTGCACTCCAAACTTTAATGAGTGTTTTACCAGATTTTAATTTTTAAAGCTTTTAAAGTTTACGTAATGACATCGTGATTATGCCTTAATTCAAGGAAAAAATATAAGTGCCCCTTAATCTCTAATACACTTTTTCTTTTATCTTCCTTGAACCTAAAAAGAGGCTTTCTCATTGCCAGCACAAATTATGGGACCAAATTAGCCAACGGAAATTGGAAAACAGCCTCAAGAGTTCCTAGAATATTTAGTTCTACAATCATCAATATAGTGGGTCATTAAATTCATCTCAGTCCATATAAATCATTAACCTGGAATGAGGTATTTGATGTCCATGTGTATCCACATTAGTCACATTTTTAATTTTTAACACGAGGAAATTTTTTTTAATACAGTTATCTGGTATTTGATCCTATTGCATTGGATTTGAGCATTGTTGGGTGGGGGGTAGATCTCCATGCATGACTTTTTTCACACATACGTTTTGAATCCTTGACCTTGTTTAAAGGAAATTGAATCCCTTCTAATTTACCAACCACTTTGTTATTATAGGTGGCTGTGTGCATTTTTATGTATATTATATGGGGTTTTTAATATATAAAATAAAACACACACGTGGATATTACCTCTTCATCTACAGTTGTATTTCGGTTAGATCCATAATCAACGAGTCATTGTCTTTACTGATTCAGCGACAGATCTCAACTTAACAATCCTGAAATAAACCAACTTTCTACCCTGGGCCTACACTTTTCATTTTCAGGGTAGTGTTTTAATACGGCAGGTAACATTAATTTGATACCTTTGCAAGCTTAGTGACATATGCAGCAGCCAATGCAGTGGCTAACAATCCCAAGCCAAGAGTCAGCAGCTGACTGTTTCCTCCAGCTAAAGAGAGATCAGATTCTTCTTGCTGAAATGTCAAAGTATGTTTTGCTAAAATAAGCCGCCCCCAAAAAAAAAAAAATGCAAATGCTCTTCAATCCTTTAAAAAGGGAAACAAATAAAATGAATAGCTATTGATGCATCATGCATGCAATACAGAGGATGGTTTCACCTAGAATGAGAATTTTACCATCTCAGCCTAATAATTCTATTTATTTTCTTCAAATTTGAAGGCAGAAAACAAAGAACAAAGTGAGAAAGGATCAAATGGCCCACTCACACAACAAAAGAAAAACCAGGAAAAGAAAAGACAACCATCCACCTGACAGGGAACCAACCAAAAAAAAAAAAAAACACAAAGAAAAGAAATAATAAATATACAAAATAGCAACCAACAGAAGTTAGTCCAATTGATAGGGAAGAAGTCCATACCCTACAATAGCGTAAGTTTGTATCCTACAACCAATACGAGGATGTTATTGGTTAGTAATCTGTAAGTATATCTATAAATGTTCCATTGGAACCCAAGTCACTGAAATCGTTTTCTTTTAAAAAAGATTAAGAATATGTTCAACCACTATTTGTTGTTGGTCACAAGCAATGCATTCCAAGATCTGGACAATATAATTCTCATCAATCATTCCTTGCTAATAGTAATTCATCCGTGGCATCATTTAGACTAGTTCTGCAGCATTCTATTGCAGACTCATTTCTTTCAACTAGAGAAGAAAAGCAACTTAGGGGGAAGACAACATATCCTCCTCCATAAAACACAAGGAAATAAGGGAAATCTAAGGAGCTCAAAAGTGGAGCAAAGCTTCAATTTCCCAGCCTACGAGAAGTGAAGACATTTATAAAGATCACTGTACAAAGCGTGAAAGAGAAGCCAAAAGTAAAATCCATCTCCATCAGAAGTAGAGGCGTAGGTAACGAGATGCCATTGAAAACCTAGAAATTTCTGAATCAGATATACCAGATAATAGAATAATCTGCCACAATTTCACTTTCCATCTTGACAAAACCTTGAAAGTAAATCAGGAGAAACTGCTCAGAAGATTCAGGACAAGCCTATTGTTTACCTAGAACCCTAAACCCCAATGGTAAAATAAATGGGGTACTGTTTATGAATTAGAACAGCATGATACACAAGCTAAGGTTAACACTGGTATGACAAATATTTCTTTTGTCACAGCCTAAGGATTTCTGCTTCTACTGATACACACCCTTTTTAGAGCAACTTTTCTATTCTTTGCTTCAAAAAATTCGAACTTCATTCAGATAATCAACCATAGGCAGAACAACAAAACTAAAAAACGATAAGCTTATGCACAGCTTATTTTGAAACAGACTTCAAAGCACAATTTCCAGAAAACACTAACCAAGACAGTCTGCCTAATAAAACAGTAAAACCATCAAAGTTTTGACATAAAAAGATAGTAGTAAGCATGTAACATTCTGTGCATGAGACTAAAAGAGGTAGCTTTTTAATTTCAGTAGCTTCCTTGAAAATTTGGGGGAATTGTTAACAGTCCTTTTCATTACTCTAAACGAGTTTATTAGACTTCTTATAATATAAATTAAATATTAAGTTCAATATATAAACATTGGCAAATGCTTCCAGAGTAACCTTCGTTTAATAGAATAAAGGTTCATGGAGATATAGGAGATACAGCGCAGCAACACAAACAAGAGACACTTGCTATTCTCAACTATACGTTAAGACTTCAACGTCTTAAAAACCACCATACAACCAAAGGGATACAGGAAACCTCATTTACATTTTGGACCTTATTACAGGCAAGCATGCAGCCCGATTAACACATGATTCAAAAGTCATGGATGAACTATCCTTCCATTTCATAGATACATTAACACACGCTTGCTTGCTACAAAGCACACAGAAACCCAAGAGAATGCTCATTTTGGGTTATTTTGCAATTCCAGATGTCCCCAATGGTGCTACTGTCATGGTTGTCAAAATTTTTCTAAAATAGGAGATCATGAGGAGTTGATGCTACGAAAATGAGTCAAATCATGCTTGAACTATACTTTTGATAGACTCTGATTGCTCACACAAACTCTTACAAGATTCCAAGTTAACGCAAAGCTGTTAAGGACTTCTTTCATAAGTTCCTGAAGCTCATATCACATAGCATAATTTTCTTCCCCATCATTAGTCCATGATTGTCTTTGAAGAAGAAAGAATATAGCTCAAACAGATGTGCTTTACCCTGTAGAACGTCGTCAAAGAGTTTCATATATTGTTGCTGTGTCTTTTCAACCCTCACATTGTAAACACTACACCACTGCAATAACTCTTTTGACCTATATGCTGAGCTTGTTAGTTCCTTTTACTTTCATCGTTAAATTTTTTTTTTTTTGGTGAAAAATTTTAATCATTTTAAGCGTTTTCTATATTCACCTTTACTTTTTATGTTATGAATCTACCATCCTATTAAATATGAATCTATTTATTATTATATTAATTGTTACTTAATACAGGCATTTTTGAGTTTTACCATGGGTAAAATTTTTTTGCACTTATTCAAGAAAAACTTTTATGAGTTTATGATTCAAGTTTACCTTGACTTAACTCAAGAGTTTAACAATCACAACTGTCATTTGTGATTTCTGTATATTTCTACTTAGTTTGAAACTTCTTCTGCGTGTTAGAGAGAGAGAGAGAGAGAGAGAGAGAGAGAGAATGCAAAGTCCACTCGAGCAGCCAGCAAGCCACTAATACTGCTTTCAGGTAGCTGTTGTAGTAACAATGTCATGGCACTAGGAAGAGTTTACCAACTGGATTTTCCCTAAATTGATTTCACTGCTTATAACTACTCTATTCAATCTGTCACTCAGTTACCTAATAACTTCATACATGAAATTTCATTTTCTCAAACTTGGAAAATTAAAGCCACCAAATATAACGTGCTTAGAGTAATAGCCACCTTTCATACATTTTAAACATTCCAAGGCCCCTTAACAATACCTCAACTAACCCATCATATTGGAAACAATGCATAAACATCAATCCACAAAAACCTACTTAATCATGACCTCACTTAGTACCACCTATTATTTCGCCTAGATATGGCTTTGCAGTGTGCTTTTGATGGCATTGTTAAAATTGCCATATTTCACAAGAAGCAACGCCTACAGATATTTCAGCATCATTCATTTCCTACTCGAAGGCCATATTGTACCAACCTCACACCATAGATTAAAAGAAAATAAAAACAAAAGAAGAAAAACAAAAACATAGTTGCCACAAAGGAAAAAGCTTTTGATGGACTAATATTTTACCAATACTTGAATTGTTTTGAAGAATGGGGGAAAAGTGCACAAACTTACAATTATTGCTCGCCCAAATGCACCAGCACTCACATAAGCCCATGTCCCAGGAAGCATTCCCAGCCAACTGCATCAAAATTGTTGATTATTTTAGTACCAAACCAGAAATACACAAAAAGTAAAAATGTCCAAATCAAAATGAGTAACTGATTTAAAAACTGAACTTCCTGCATCTTCAAAAGCATTTCCTACATTTGTTATAGGAGAGTATTGTGTTTTTTGCTTGATTGCGGTGTTCAGCTCATGGCTATTTCAAGTACATTTTAGTTTCTGATATGCAGAGAGATTGGACGGATTTAATGCATCTTGCAGCCTCTCAAGCTTTCTGTTCTACCTTTTCTTTAGTTTTCCAAGATATATGATATTGGAGGGCATCCAATCTTCATCGCCTAATTGCACTTCTTTTATATGTCTACAAATATTACTTTTATCATTTAGCAAAAGCTTTCTTGAACTTTGAAGTAGTTGCACAAAACTCTTTTCACTTTTAAAAGTTCAAAATTAACCTCCTTAACATTTTATTTTTTACCATAGTCTCTATTGTTATTTTTTAGTTATTTTATTAATAAAAGTTGCCACGTCATATTGAAAAAAGACACGTAACAACTTATGTGACATCCGATGTAAGCTAGCAATAACAAAAAATATGGATAAACCTTTTTTTATAAAGTTTTTATTTTGTTAGCTTTCATTGGATGCTTACGTAAGCTACTACGTGTTTTTTTTTTTAATATGACATAACAACTTTTATTAGTAAAATAACTAAAAAACAACAGTAGGGGAGTATGTGGTGAAAAATATAAAAGGTTTGGGAGGTTAATTTTAAACTTTTAAAGGTAAGTGGGGTTTTGTGCAACTCTTTAAAGTTCAAGAGAGTTTTGTATATTTTAACTTATAACAAAAATAATGCCCCCACTTAGTTGATTCATAACTGTTGAATTAACAAATTAATCATAGCATAATTATTATGTATTATAAGAAAATAACCGTATCAGTAAACCAAGTGGGGATATTACCATTAAGTTCTTAGATTGAATGACCCTTAAAAGCGCCATCCTTACATTTCAGCATTCAGAGTTCAAAATGGGGGAAAAGAAACTAATGAGTATTTGTTGATAATTAACATTAAAGAGATTCTATTGTCAACAGCTGTTTAAAAGTTTTAAGTTATTAAGAGTCAAATTTGCTTTATAATAACCTCCAACATGTCTTCTCAAACATAACTCCTTTAAGGTTAAAGTGAGGACAAAATAAAGCATCTACCTTGTACCTTTTACTGAGACTTGCTTTCAATAATTACATGTATAGGGTGCGGCAAAGATCAAAACCCACTGCTTCATCATATAAAAGCTTAAATACCATGACAAGAACCATTTCCCCCGAAGCTTACTTCTGTTATAACATCTAACGTCACTACAGAGAATAAGATGTAACCACAGAGATTTCAAGTAAAAAATTTTTGCAAGTATTTTATCATTTTATTGAAAAAAGATGCATTATTTGTTACTTAATGGCTACCTGAATAAGATCCATTCCATTAAAAAGGATAAGGGGGATCCAATTCTGAATTGCACATACTTTAAGGAAAAATGTCAGGGAGAACTAACCTCAGTCAAGCACATAAAAACTTTGTCCTTTTCTTTTCATTACAGGTACAACTAAGCTGTCTGAGATAATGAAAAATACCATTCACGGGTCTTAACCTAATAGCTTAAGCTTTTGGATCCAAATCAGTTGTTGACAAAACAAGCACATTATATGTTCTGACCACTTATAAAGTTCAAAGTTGAAAACTCACTGGTAAGCAGAGTTAGATTTCAAGAAAAGAAAGATAAATCCTAAAATTCAATATAAGTATTGAAATTCACTCAATAATGTATTAATCTGCTATAAGTATCATACCTTCCCAATACATATGGTATGAACTTAACAGATGTCAATCCATATAAATAATTCCCAAGAGAAAATGGAAGTAAAGGGCTCAAGCGGAGCAAGGTCACAACTTTGAAGCCATTTTCCCCAATTGCTTTGTCAATAGCAAGAAACTTTTTATTTCCTTCCACCAACTTTAGAATACGCTCACGAGCAAAATATCTTGCAATCAGAAAAGCAACACTAGCTGCCACCTGGAATGTTCCACAAATATTGGAAAAAAGAAAATACATCATACATTTGGGATCAATCACCATTAATGTGTATGATTTCATATTTTAAGCCAATTGATTTTATGTAGAATGAAATTTTCAATGATCCAATCATTCAATTGCAAGCAATTGTTAAGTTGATATTTCACAAAAAAAAAATTTAGAATATTAAGGATTATTAATTAAGTAATAAAATAGGCAGCTCATACTTTATTATATTTCAAAAATTTGACAATAGTATTGTTCAATTACCTAAGCATGTGTTAAAAACATAAAATCATTTTTCACATAAGAATTTAAAAGCACAGTTGATAGAATGAGATTGAACCCAACAAGACTTTGTGATAGTGATGGGCCTCCAAACAAGTGGGGCCAAGTGTATCGGAGGAAGCCCAACAAGACAGCCCAACAAGGAATAGATACAGAAGGGTAGAATAGGAAGGGGACCAGGATAACATCCTCTGACAAGTCAGAGTAGTGGGGAAAGGGATGTAAATAGTGGGACAGCAATTTAGGAGGGGGAGGAGAGAATCAGTTTTGGGGAGAGGGCCTGACCTCTCGAAAGTCAGGAATGGGGTGTTTCATTTTCTAGCTCTACGTTCTATTGTTAGCGCCTGTAATCTCTACATTTTCCTATTGTCATAGAGATTACCCATTGAGGTTTCACCCAATCGGCGTACTAGCTCTAACAAATTGGTATCAGAGCAGGCTGTTCTGGGGAATGGTCAACACTAGAATGGAAAGAAGAGTTGAACAACTAGAGCGATCGGTTGAGGAGGTGCAGAGGCGACAAGGGGAGACAACTGAGAAACTAACCAGTGTGGAAACATCGGTAGCAAAGATATTGCGGCAGCTCAATGACCTTCGAGCCACCTTTGGGGTCGCTTATCCGCCGCCACTGCCACCAGTCAACCATGAGGTGGGGACTGGACAGGACAACATTCCAGAGACTAGGAATGAAGGGACTGGACAGAGCGAGGGAGTTAAGCATCGTCGACTAGAGCTTCCTTTGTTTGATGGGGAGGATCCTCTTGGTTGGTTGTTCAGGGTGGAGCGATACTTCATGGTGAACGGGGTCGGGGAGAATGAGAAGCTTGACACGGTCGTGGTAAGCTTGGAAGGGAAGGCTCTCGCCTGGTTTCAATGGTTAGAGACCAGAACGCCAGTGAGATCATGGCAAGAATTCAAGAAGGAGGTTACGGACCGTTTTCATTGTAAGCAGCTAGGAGGGGAGCATGAACGGCTATTAGCTTTGAAGCAAGAAGGAACAGTGCTGGAATTTCGAGAGCAGTTTGAACTCCTTTCAGCTCCGTTAAATGAAGTGCCCGATGAAATGCTAATGGGTGCTTTCTTGAACGGGATAAATGAGGAGATTCGAGCAGACGTCCGGCTAATGCACCCCAAAGATTTGAAGGAGCTCATGGATTATGCTGCTCAAGTGGAGGATCGGAACAAAGTAAGAGAGAAGGTAATGGAGGAAAGGAGGAGTAAAGCAGCAAAGTCGAACATGGGGAGTCGCTGGAGCGAATTTAAAATACCACCTCCCAAACTTGCCAGCACCGAGAGCTTCAGGAATGTGGCGCCCCCCTCGGCTATGAAGAGCCTAGGGGAAAAGAGCGGTGATAACGCAAGAACAAAGGCCACTAAAACCACTCACCCGATTACATCGCCGGTGAGTAGCAGTGGAAGTGTCGTGCCCCGAAAACAACTGTCGGAAGCTGAGATTAACAGGCGACGTGAGTTGGGCCTCTGCTTCAAATGTGAGGAGAAATTTGGCCCAAATCACAAGTGCAAAAATAAGCAACTTAGGCTTATTATACTAGAAGAGGAAGACGAGGGCCCGGGTGGACAAAATGGGTCTAGTGAGTCCGAGAAACAACTGAATGAGGATGGGGATTTGGCTTCAATGGAGTTATCCATGACCACAACAGTCGAGTTGACGGGCAAAAGGACGCTAAAGATGAAGGGAACAGCGTTTGGTCGAGACGTCACCATATTAATCAACTGTGGGGCCATACATAACTTTGTGGCTGCAGCTTTAGTTGACGCGTTATAGATCCCAACCCAGGCAGTAAAGCGATATGCGGTCACGGTGGGGGATGGCAGACGAGTGTTTTCTGACCTCAAGTGTCCCGAGATAATTCTAGAAATACAGGGGATAAAAATCCGACAACCATTTTACCCTTTCAACCTTGGAAATGTTGATTTTGTGCTGGGGGTTGACTGGTTAGAATCTCTGGGAGAAACGCGGATGAACTGGCGCCAATTATACATGAAAATCAGATTAGGAAAACAGTGGGTATGCCTGCGAGGGGATCCCACTCTGACGAAATCCCTCGGGTCGTTAAAGTCAATAAAGAAAGCCAAAAAAGGGGAAGGGGTCGGGTATTTGATTGAGTTATCCATGGAGCCTCTGCAGCCCATACGTGACCGAAAATCGATCGAAGAAGAGCTTGCTAAGCTCCTCCAGGAATTTCCCTCGGTGTGCGAGCCCATAAAGACACTACCCCCACGTCGTGTGCAAGATCATGAAATTAAAATAAAGAAGGGAGAGCAACCTGCCAACGTTAGTCCATACAGGTACGAGCATGCCCAGAAGGCAGAGATAGAAAAACTAGTCAAGGAGATGCTCGCTGCAGGAGTTATACGGCCCAGTACAAGTTCATATTCTAGTCCAGTGCTACTAGTGAAGAAGAAGGACGGGAGTTGGTGATTTTGCTTCGACTACAGAGCCCTTAATAACATCACTGTACCTGACAAGTACCCCATCCCTGCCATTGATGAGCTGCTGGACGAGTTAGGCGAGGCCACAGTGTTTACCAAACTGGATTTGAAGTCTGGGTACCACCAGATTCGAATCAAAGAAGGAGACGAACCAAAGACAGCCTTCCGCACCCATGATGGACATTATGAATTTAAGGTTATGCCATTCGGATTAATGAATGCCCCCTCTACTTTTCAATCCCTCATGAACAATATTTTTAGAGAATATTTGCGAAAGTTTATACTCGTCTTTTTTGATGATATTCTTGTGTATAGTAAAGACAGGGAATCACATAAGACACACTTGAGGAAAGCTATAGAGACACTCGAACAACACCAACTGGTGGTGAACTTAAGGAAATGTGTGTTCGGGCAGGCCCAAATTGAATATCTTGGGCACATCATTTCTGCGGAGGGAGTCAAGGCTGATCCTTCAAAAATTAAAGCAATGCAGCAGTGGCCAACTCCTAAGAATTTGAGAGCGCTAAGGGGGATTCCTAGGCCTTACAGGTTACTATCGTAAATTTGTAAAGGGTTACAGCAAGATCGCGGCGCCTTTAACTCAGTTATTGAAGAAGGATTCATTTATATAGGATGAGAGTGCCCAGGACTCTTTCGAAAATCTCAAGACAGCAATGGTGACCCTGCTTGTGCTAGCCATGCCGGATTTTAACCTACCTTTTGAGGTGGAGGCAGATGCGTCTGGGAAAGGAGTGGGGGCTGTGTTAATGCAGAAAGGGCACCCAATTGCCTTCTTCAGCCAAAAGTTATCAGACTGGCACCAACAAAACTCCGTCTACGAACGAGAACTCATGGCAATCGTGTTAGCTGTCAAAAAGTGGCAGCATTATCTGTCCAGCCAACCATTCATCGTCAAAACAGACCAGAGGGCCCTCAAGTATCTCCTAGAACAGCGCATTGTTGCTCCAGATCAACAGAAATGGGTTACTAAGTTAATGGGGTACAAGTTTCAGATCCAATACAAACCAGGGAAGGATAATAGGGTAGCTGATGCCCTGTCGCGAAGGGATGCAGAGATGGAGTTGAGGGCCATATCGATGTGGCAATATGACAAGATTGAGGATTTGATTGAAGAAATTTCTAAGGATAGCCGTCTGTAAGAGATCATCCAGCAACTTGTAAGAGGCAGAGAAAGCCCAAAAGGGTATACCCTTAAAAAAGGGGTCTTTTATTATGAGGGACGACTGGTACTTCCTAAAAACTCTCCAAAGATTCGGGAATTAATACGTGAGTTTCATGATTCTCCTATGGGGGGACATTCTGGACAATTTAGAACTTATAAACATTTGGCTGCCAGCTTGTATTGGGAAGGGATGAGGAAGGATATTCAAGAATATGTGGCTCAGTGTGAAATTTGTCAGCGTAACAAATATGAAGCTCTTAGTCCAGCTGGCCTATTGCGACCATTACCGGTGCCTCAAGCCTCATGGGATGACATCAGCATGGATTTCATTGGAGGTATGCCCAAAAGTAGCCGGTATGATACAGTGTTAGTTGTGGTTGACAGACTCACCAAATACAGCCACTTCATCCCACTTTCACACCCTTATTCTGCTAAGGAGTTTGCTGAAATCATGGTAAAGGAAGTGATTAAATTGCATGGGTTCCCAAACTCCATTGTGTCAGACCGAGATAGGGTCTTCATCAGCCAATTTTGGGAGGAACTGTTTCAGATGGCAGGGACGACACTCAAGTATAGCTCTTCTTATCACCCAAAGACTGACGGCCAAACCGAGGTAGTAAATCGAACTTTAGAAACTTATCTCAGGTGTTTTGCTGGAACTACCCCTAAAAGTTGGGTCAAAATGCTTCCATGGGCTGAATACTGGTATAATACTACCTATCATAGTGCCACTGGAACCACCCCCTTCAAAGCTCTGTATGGAAGAGACCCCCCAGTTTTGCTGAAATGGAAAGATCAAACCTCAAGGGTACAAGCTGTGGATGAACAAATTCAGGAGCGCAATGTAACGCTTGATGAGCTTAAGCATCAATTAGAGAGAGCCAGAACTAGAATGAAGGATCAAGCAGATAAACACCGAAGGGAAGTGCAGTTTGAAGTGGACAGTTTGGTTTATTTGAAGATAAAACCTTACAGGTACAAGTCTCTGGCTAAGAAGGTGAATGAAAAGCTTTCACCCAGGTTTTATGGGCCATATAAGATCCTTGAAAGGATAGGCAAGGTAGCATACCGGCTGGAATTACCGGAGACAGCGCAGATACACAATGTATTAAATGTTTCCCAATTAAAAAAGGCCCTCAAGCCTGCTGCTACAGCTCAGCCCTTACCACAAGGACTGACAGACGAACTGGAGCTTCAAGTTCAGCCAGAACTGGTCAAGGAATCCAGGTGGAGTGCCAACGGCCAGTTACAACTTTTAATTAAGTGGAAAGAATTGCCGGAATGTGACAACACGTGGGAAGATGCACAAACCATTCACACTCAATTTCCTCACTTCCACCTTGAGGACAAGGTGCTGCATAAAGGAGGGGGAAATGATGGGCCTCCAAACAAGTGGGGCCAAGTATATCGGAGGAAGCCCAACAAGGAATAGATACAGAAGGGTAGAATAGGAAGGGGACCAGGATAACGTCCTCTGACAAGTCAGAGTAGTAGGGAAAGGGATGTAAATAGTGGGACGGCAATTTAGGAAGGGGAGGAGAGAATCAGTTTTGGGGAGAGGGCCTGACCTCTCGAAAGTCAGGAATGGGGTGTTTCATTTTCTAGCTCTACGTTCTATTGTTAGCGCCTGTAATCTCTACATTTTCCTATTATAATAGAGATTACCCATAGAGGTTTCACCCAATCGGCGTACTAGCTCTAACAGATAGCACCCGAAATATAGACCATCTCGAACAGTATGAATTGGCCTAAATGGGTTGCAGTGCAAAATGAGCTAGGTTGTGCCAGCCCATTTTTATGTGGGTCCAAACTATGAGGGTTGATGGATTATTGGTAGGAAGATATGCAGAGGGAAATAAGGGGAAAAAAGTCTCTATTAGAATATGAAACCAGAATCTCAATAAATTAATAAGGATGAAGGAAAATCTTTAGTAGAAGATGAGCAAGGATCTTAAAATCATATAACTAATAAAGCCCAAGTAGAATCTCCACTAATAAAAACAAATATTGATTTTATTTCCAGATGATTTCTACGTGCTATACGCCTCAATATCTATAGATAGAAATATAACTAATAACTCCTAAAAAGACTCCCATTAACCCATACATCAAATAATGGGGAATAACAACCTGAATAATAAATAAAATAAAATTACTCAATTAATCTGCAAGTATATAACCCACTACTCCTAAACTTGAGGATCTCTCAATAAAATAGAAAAATAACCTAAATAATATTATTAAAGAGAAAATATCTAAAATAACTTAAAAGAGTATTTATGCCTAGTATTTCTCTAACTCCCCTATCACTCATTATCCCATAATAATCAGTATTCTATCAGTTATACAAGCCAATCCACCAAAAGACACCATTTTATACTCTCAAAAGTTTTAATAGTTTCTAAAACTTGAATCTAACCCATATGATCCATTTTAAAACCACATATCAAGGGCTCGTTTGATTCTGTTTTTTTACATTTAGGTTTTGAAAACAATTTTTTAGAATAATTTTTCATTTGGGAATAAGAAATTAGAAAAATCTATTTGAATCATTCATTTTGAAAATCACATCGAAAGAAAAAATTAATAAAAAGTCATTTGAAAAAAATTAATTTGAAAGCAAGTTTAGAGTACAACAGTGAATGATGGAAAATAGTGGTGGTCAGTAAAGTTGATGGTGGCTGGTGGTGACTGCAGAAAAGCAAAAGTGATGGTGGTAGTCAACAATGGGTGGTAACAGTCAATGGGGTCGGGGCAGATGGAGGTGCTAAGCAAAATGGTCAACACCGGTCAACAATATTCAATGATAAATGAGAGCAAAGCCAAAAAGGAGAGGGAAAATAGCAGATAAAACAACTCCAAGTTGTTCTTTTTTATTTTTAGGTCAAAAGGAACACAGAAAACATAAACAAGTTTTGAGAACATGCAAATAGATAACACTTATAAACAAGTTTTTTTGTCTAATTTGTCTTTAAAAAAAATTGAAAAAGGCAATTAAACAGGCCCTTTGGCATAAATTGTACACCAGTAAATACTGCATATATTTGTAGGGTTAATGAGGATTAATTGAAGCTAAGTCACTGGCATGAACTGAAAGTCACCAATATAAGAGTCTATATGAATAGACCATCTTATAACTTTTAATAGAACATGATTTTCATCAACCCAATATTAAATTATGCATGATTCAGTGCTAGTTACATTAATCAAGTACAAACCATTTTAGAAGAGTTGAATAATGATGTTCAATAGTATGAAATTGATTTAGTTTACAATAGCGTAAATTGAATCTAAACATCTGAGAGTCAGTGTGAGTGTGCGTGTAGAGAGAGAGAGAGAGAGATAATGACTCACTGTTCCACTAATAGAGACTATGATAGTCCCAATAACAGATCCAAAAAGAAGTCCTGCTGACATGGTTAAAGGTATGGCAGGTATTGCAAGGACCTGGGACCATAATTGATAAGGCAAAGTCAGACTTCAACAAATGAAAATAATCACCTCAGGTTCCATCCACAAGAAAAGTAACACCAGAATAACCATTGCATGAACACTATTCTAATTAACTTGGTAACATGCAGTTTCCAGACTTAGTTTACAATAAACAGGAGGGTGCAGGCATGTTGACATTATCAAATACTGCATTGAATTAAGTTACAAATCTGTCATACAAGCAGCAATCAAGCCTGACATCTAGCAGCAGGCGTTCATGAAACAGTAGATGCATCCTCACCTCTAAGCCAGCATAAACCGCCACAAACAATGCGTATCCAACTGGACCATAGCCTGCTTGTTAAAAAACCAAACAGGGTTAGGTCTAATTTACAGTAAATAATCCTTTAGAGAGAAAGAAAACAGTATGGAAACATATAAAATTATAAAAAGATTGAAGAATCATGCTCTTTAAGGAACGACAGTTCATGCTACTATAAATCCTAGGTAATAGGAAAAACTCACTAATGTAAACCCAAGCACAAATACAGACAATAGCAAAGATCTAGAATATTACAAATGTACTCCTAGGACCTAAACTTTATATTCAGTTCATGTAACAGCTTATTAAGATTGCCAACACTTGTTTCAAGAAGAGAGATGAGCATCTCATCACTTACAAAAGTGGAGCCTCAAGGTCGCAGATTGATTTTCTTTTGGTTAGGAACACAGATAGAAAACTTTGTAAAAATTGTAAGGTGATCCCTGGAGATGCTGTAACGACACAACATAGGGTCCTAGTCCTTGATGTGTGTATTATGAGTAAAATCCAAAAACGTCGACAAGTAGTAACACCAAGGATTAGGTGGTGGCAATTAAAAGGTGAGAAGCAAGATATTTTCAAGCGAAATCTTTTGGATAAAGGAATTTGGGATTCTCAGGGAAGTGCTAACATCATATGGGAGGATATGGCTAAAAAGATACGGGAGGTTGCAAAAGTAGTTTTGGGAGAATCGAAAGGTTCTGGTCCGAGAGATAAGGAGTCTTGGTGGTGGAATAATAGTGTACAGGACAAAATCAAGTATAAGAAGAACTGTTTTAAAGCCATACATTTGTGTAACAATGAGGAAAATTGGGAGAGGTACCGTATGGCTAAGAAGGAAACTAAGAGAGCTGTGGGTGAAGCTCGTTCCAAAGCTTTTGAAGAATTTTATAAGAACCTTGAGACGAAGGAAGGAGAGCAAAATATTTATAAGATTGCCAAGAGTAGGGAAAGAAAATCAAGAGATCTAGAACAGGTAAGGTGTATTAAGGATGAAGAGGGAAGAATTTTAGTTACAGATGATGAAATTAAAAATAGATGGGAGACTTATTTTTCTAAACTTTTCAATGATGGAGAGGATTCATCTAGTAACTTGGAGGATTTAGTAACTGGTGAAGGAGAACAAAATTTGTCATTCTATCGAAAAATACGTGATAAGGAGGTAAAGGAAGCTCTTAAGAAAATGGCAAATGGTAGAGCGAACGCACCTGATTGTATATCTATCGAAGCGTGGAAATGTTTAGGTGAAGAAGGGGTGAGATGGTTAACTAAGTTATTTAATGTGATTTTACGGTCCAAGAAAATGCCTGATGAGTGGAGGAAAAGTACATTAATTCCTATTTATAAAAATAAAGGAGATATTCAGAATTGTACTAACTATAGAGGGATTAAACTCATGAGCCACATAATGAAATTGTGGGAGAAAGTAATTGAGGACAGGTTGAGATTGGAGACAAGTATTTCTGAGAATCAATTTGGTTTTATGCCAGGTAGATCAACTATAGAGGCGATTTATCTACTAAGGGGATTAATGGAAAAGTATCGTTGTAAAGATAAAGATCTACACATGGTTTTTATTGATTTGAAAAAAGCTTATGACCGTATACCAAGAGAAGTGCTTTAGAAAGCGTTGGAAAAAAAGGGAGTACGGATTGCTTATATTAAAGCCATACAAGATATGTATGAGGGGGTAAAAACTAGTATAAGAACGCCTAGTGGTCAAACAAAGGATTTTCCTATAAAGATTGGACTACATCAGGGATCATCTCTGAGTCCTTATTTGTTCAACTTGATTTTAAATGTTTTGACGGAACATATTCAAGAGGAAATCCCGAAATGTATGCTCTTTGCGGATGATATAGTTCTTATAGCAGAGACAAGAGAAGAGGTTAATTGCAAACTTGAGTTATGGAGGAGCACATTGGAGTCGAAAGGTTTTCATCTGAGTAGAAGTAAGACGGAATATTTATATTGTAAATTTGGTAAAGGACTATTCGAAAATAATTTGGAAGTGAAATTGGGAGATCAAATTATACCTCAAGTGGAAAAGTTTAGATATTTAGGAGCCATTATTCAAAATGATGGCGAAATCAGTGGAGATATTTCACATAGAATTCAAGATGGGTGGTTTAATTGGAGAAAAGCTAAAGGAGTTATTTGTGACCGTAAGGTGCCTAATAAACTTAAAGGAAAGTTTTATCGTACTGCTATCAGACCGGCAATGTTATATAGTAGTGAATGCTGGGCTCTAACGGGACAGCAAGAGCATAAAGTTGAAGTAGCAGAGATGAGAATGTTACGATGGATGTGCAGACATACACGTAAAGATAAAATTCGAAATGAGCACATACGTGAAAAAGTGAGGGTGGCACCTATTGAGGAAAAAATGGTAGAAAATCGGTTGAGATGGTTTGGGCATGTACAAAGAAGACCAAGGGAGGCACCAGTGAGAAGAGTGGAACATATAACTTTGAGTCCGATTAAGAGAGGTAGAGGAAGGCCTAAGAGAACACTCTTGGAAGTTGTTGAACGTGATCTCTTAATTAATAATATTTCTAAAAGCTTAATAAATGATAGAGCATAATGGCGTCTTGCAATCCATGTAGCCGACCCCACCTAGTGGGATAAAGGCTTGTTGTTGTTGTTGTTGTTGTAACAGCTTAGTAGTCCTAGCAATCCTAAAAAATAATGATTTAGAAAGGTCTTTGAAACTTATCAAATTCCACTCATTTAATTCTCCCATATTTCATGATCCATCCCCATAAAGAACATCCAAATTGGCAAGTGCAATGAATTTGTTCTCCGTATGGGTAGAAGAACAAAGGGGAAAGACATGGAATTCTGCTTTAAATGTTACATTCCCAAATTACAAACCGTTGTCAAATGGTGGGAACCTGGTTTAACCTAGCATTTGGGTCACCAAAAACTTGAGGGCATGCAAGAGAAGTGAATCACCTACTGACAGTTGCTCACTTCACAAAAGTTAAAATTTGGATTATCAAATTGCATGCTTGCCTTTCATTAGATTGGCTTCCATTTTCATGTTATTCACGTTAAAGCCACAAAGAATAACTACATCATCCAATACCGTATATTTCCTTTCATATGTTGCTTTTGTCTGTCTTGGAGAGCTGCGGTGTTTAACTATGCTTTCCTTTCGTTTTTCCTTTTCTCTGTAAAATCTAGTCTTCTATTCTTCTTTACAGTGGGCGAGCCAACAAGTTAAGCAAATGAAAGAAAATTCATTTAAAGAATTATAAAAGAAGTTAGTGGCTTAATTCATGGAATTTATTCAACAGTAAAATCTACAGAATATACTAGATTGTACCTCATTTACCTTTAAAATACACAGAAAAGAAACTATCCTCGATTACAGGGAAAAATGGAATCATTCCCATAAAAATTACATTCAGCAAACTCTGGCTTTTAAGCAACCAGGAGGATGTTTCCTATTCAGATACGTACATAATTTCTAACAAATTTGACATGACATACTAGAAAGTTCATCTGAGTTGATCACTCCAGGATAACAATCAGCCTAACCAGAGATATCGGGATCCATGAGACAAAGCAGAAACATTCCAGGTTTATGCCGAGATAAATTCCCACTTTAATGTCAAAACTTGCCAAAATATCGTCTCACTTCCTATAGGTAGTAGCTTCCTTAAATATCCAGAAACTGTTAATTTTAAAATCACTGACACAAAATGATAGCTAAAAATTTTTTGGAGCAGCTCCAGACCAAGAAATCTCGAATTATAGAAAAGTGCCCCCAATCTCAACCACAATTCTGCTGGCAACTTATCGCATAATCCTCCAATGGACCTCAAGTAACGAAAATCCGAATCGAAATACTTAAAGTTAATAGAAAATTTCACCTTCTATGAAAGTAGAAAACTGATTCAAGAAGACATTAATCTGGTCCTTGTAGATATAACCAACAGAGGCAATGCCGCCAACAACGCCCAACAATAATACACCGCCCAATAGAGTACCCTTCAACGCAGTGTCACCCTCGATCCTAGGATCTTCTTCACTCTTGTCTCCACCACCACCATCGTCAGCGCTCTTAGGGTTAAATAGCCTGTCTATACTACCAGACGGAGCATTGTCGGGAGTATCGCTCTTCCTGACTTGCTGCTTCTTGGTTTGTCTGAGCGAAGAACATGGGGAGAGGAAGTGAATGCGTTTGTTGGGTCGGAAGGTAAAGAGGAAAGAAGAAGAAGAAGAGAAGTGGTAGGCAGTGTGAAGAGAATAAGAGGAGAGACATGGCAAGGGTGGCCTCAGGTTGAGGATGGCGCGCATTTTATGGAGCGTGGCGGAGGAAGAGTGAAGGAGGAGGTAAGACTCGCGCAGTTGACATGTATGATAATTTGTTTGTTTCCATGGTGGATCCGTTTTCGCGCTATTGTTCGCCATTAATTTTTTGTGGTTCGGATTACAAATAAACCTCGAGGAATTATTCCTCTTTCGTCTAGAATATTCAATATTATCTGTAAACATCTCATAACGATTTGAAATGGATTTGAAGTAATGGGTAACAAATTGGGAAAATTATAAAAAGTCTCATACAAGGATTTTAATTCTATTAAAATTTTATAAAATGTATAAAATACTTTAAAATCTCAAGTTATATTCAATGACAACTTGATAAAGAAAAATGATCACTTAATAGTATTTTATGTATATTATAAGACTTCTCAGTGACTAAAATATTTACAAAAGACCTCAGAGTGATTTTTTCCAACAAATTATAGGGGAGAAAACTATCCCAAAATATGCTAATGATAATTAGCTAATGTGATAATTATTTTCTATTTTATCTGTCAATGTGAAAAGATTTATTTTACCTTTTCTAGAAAATAAAATAAAGATGGTCATCAAAACTTATAATTTGTTATTCTCTTCTAGTTATTTTTTCCAAATAACTAGTCATTTTTCAAAAGAAAATAAGAACTAATTTTTAGTTTTTGTATTTCACTAATAAAAAAATTGCACAAAATAATTTGTAATTTGATATTCCATTGTAGTTATATCTCCAAAAAAAGAGTCATGATTTTTAGCTATTGGACTTCACTGAAAGGAGCATGGAGTATAATGTTTGCTTCGACATTACACAAATTACCATGTACCAGTCGCCACACTATGCCATTATGAGGTAATTAAGTCCTCCTAAGCACATTTAATCATAAAAGGGTTAATAACATTGAATTTGAAAAATATTTGAAAATTAATAACATTAAGGTTGTTTTTGGATGGGTAGATTTAAGTTGAGAATTTGAATTTGAAATCTCATATTTGAAATTCATATATTCTAAATTCTTTATTTGGATGATACAAAAAATTTTAAATTACAATATTAAAATCCTTTGTTTGAATCTAAAATAAAATTTCAAATTTCAAATTTCAAATTTGAATTTAAAAGAAACTTGAAAGATTGGTCAAACTCGACAATCCGAATGGCCAACTTCCAACAGGATCAGATAGTTAAAGCCAAATGGGACTGCGGCATCGGTGATGACTAGGACAAGACACCTGACTTCCACCAGAACTAGACCATCATGACAACAAGGACTAGATGGTTAACTTCCACCGAGATCAAATCGACAGGGACTGAACAGTTAACTTCCATTAGGACCAAACAGAAGGTGATAACGGGGATTGGATGGTTGACTTCAATTGAAATTGGACTGACAGTGACAACAAGGACTAGACGGTCGACATCCACCAAGGCCATAAGGTTGACTACCATTGAGATTGGACCGACGGTGACCATTGAGCCCAGACCTATGGCAATGATCAAGATAGTACAGCCAACTTCCACCAGGAAAGGACAATCGACTTCCATTGAGACGGTACTCGATTGAAGGTGGCTGTCAAATCCCCATCATTGCCATTGGTTTGATCCCTATGGAAGTCAGTCTTTTGGTGGTCACTGCCAGTTCGATTCCAATGGAAGTTGGTCCTCCAATCGTCAACATCGCTATTGGTCTAATCCTGATGAAAGTTGGTTGTCCAGTCCCTATCATCACCATCAGTCTAATCTTGGTGTAAGCCGACTGTCCGATCTAATGGTCATCATCAATTTGGTCCCTATGAAAATTGGTTGTCCAGTGCTCATCTTCGTCGTTAGTCTAGTCCTGGTAGAAGTTGGGCATCCAGTGCCAGTCATCACCATCGATCGATCCCGGTGGAAGTTAATGGTCCCGTCCTAGTAGTCGACATTAATCCAGTCCTAGTTGTCACTAATGGTTAGGTCCTAGTAGCAGTTGGCCGTCCTATCCCGGTCAACGATGGTGACTTGTTTTCATCAACCTTGATGGTTTCCCTTATTTCTTACACTTCAGGGTGTCATTCTCTCTAAATTAGCTTTCTTATTGAACTGATGGATAGCTAGTTAGGTTCGAATCCCTTATTGAACCTATGGGACAGTCCCTCATTGAATAAGTGGGACAATATATATAAATAACAATCTAGGCAAACCATCAACTCGGATGAGACTTTTATCATGTGGATTTAAATTTCTACTCCTCTATCTAGGCAAACTCACGCCTCTCAAGATCATGCAATGCATAGATATATACTATTTCAAGCAAGCATTTACTTATCGTTGTACCCAATCATATACATGACAATCACTTAATACACACCCAATCAATTCATTGAAATCTACTTGTCTATTTCATTGAACTTCTCATTCATAAATTCGTTAAACTCCTTAACCTCATGTTTAATTGAACTTTACAATTTCAATTTCATTGCACCATTCACATATCATGTCATTGACTCTATTTAGTACATAATTATTGAACTCCCAAGAAATCATAACATAAAAATTAACTAACAAGGTTTTAAAGAATTGCATTTAACATGTCATTGCATTTTTTTTTGTAAGAATCATCATAGTAGATTTTCAATCAATTTATGCCACACTTGTATTTCATTCAAATTCACACATTCAAATTTTCAAATATTAATCAACATACTAATTAACACATAAAAGTACAAGATAGAATTCCTTTAGTCACTTCAAACCTTCGAGAAGTCAAAGGTTTCACCCCTTAAATACTCACTCCTAAAGCTTCCAAGAAGCTTGAATGGTGCCAATAAGATTACTCTACAAACATTTACAATATAATTCGTAAATATCCATTTTTTAGATAATTTTGACTACTAATTCAACACTTCTTCACTCTCAAGATTCATTCTTTACTCATATGAAAATACCCATAGGATTTCTTAGCTTCCTCTAGCCCTAATTAACATCATTAAACTCTTTAGTGGCTATTAATAGAGCCATATTGTCCCAACTATCATATTTATGGTGGAATTTTGCATACTAAATATCCCCAACCACCAATCATGATAAAATAATAAATACAAAGTTTCATTAGTTTAATCTACTCCTAATAACTCTATTTAAGTTAATGGGTTTGGATCTATAGCCTATATGGATTGAAAATCATCATTATAAACCAAACCCTAACTCCCAACATTAAAAAAATGGAAGAAGATAGGAAGTTTTAAGCTTAGAAACCTTACTAAAATGTTCTCTAGCTCTAAAGTACTCCCAAAGGTTAATTTCCTTAAGCCCTAGTACTACTCTTCCCATTTCTCTTTGCCTCTTCTTTGTTTTCTCTCTTCTATTGCATTAGTTCGTGTTCTTATTTTGCAGAAAATGGCCATGCGCCATAGCAAACATACGATATGTTGCAGTGCATGGCACAAAGAGCATCTCCCCTGGGCATGTTAACATACATGTGTTGCAGCGACCTAATTCACAAGCTGTAGTGCGTGATACATAACCTTACCCTTCAATTTTCTTCCTCTGTTCACATCTGGGTGACTCAATTCTCCTTTAAACCCACTTTTAGGGTTGAAAATATAACCAGACATGCCCATTAGACCTCTCTGTCTACATACCTCTCTAATAAACTTAAGTAATCTAATCAGACTTAAATAACCAGATTAAAATTTGAGGATATTACACACACTTCACATGCTTTTTCATGATAGCTTTTCTAGCCTAATTTTAGACATGTGCCATTTTCGCATCTAAAGTTCAATTGAAGTGATTCAAGCATTCACATGAAGCTTGTTTAAAATTCTAACTAACAGTATAATTTTTGTTACAATTCAAGATCATATGTGAATTTTTGATACCCAAATGTAAAAGTTATATTTTAAAACACTCTTTGTGCATCCAAGCATTCAAACCACAAATCTCTTACGACTAGCTCATTTTAGGGCTTAAACTAAGTCCAAATGACCATTTTACACCTAATTAACCATTCAAACACATAATATCACTACAAACATAAATTTTGGCCATTTGTAGCCCAATTTTACATAACAGAGCCAATTACCACAAGAATCACAAACATTACTATTTGGCTAAATTATCACCACATATAATTGTATCTTGTTCTAAGCCTAATAATGAAGTGTATCCTCACACATTTCTATTAGGCTACCATTCTATGAACTTTTACAATACAATTATATGTTGATGATTCTTGTGGTAATTATATTTCTTATATAATTTCTTATGTCACATCAAATTTTAATTATCACTACATATATACAATACTCTTGTACTTGTACTAGTATTTTAGCCCATCACCACAAAATTATCACAAAATCACATATACAAATTGGGGCTAAAATACAACACACATATCCATCATACAAGTGCAACCACTAAAATGCATCATTCCTAATTGGTAGCCTTCAATACATTATACTTACTTGTATGTACACAACTCAAAAAGAGTACATGGGCATTACAACTTATAGCTAGAGGTCTAACTCTAGCTTAGCTCTTTCCTTTTCTCTCTCTCCAACTCAAAACCTACAAAACAATAATCACAGGGTGAGATAACAATCTCAATAATCAATATAATTTACATTATTGATTAACATGCAATGCTATATACAAGTAATTTAAGTCGGTATATAAACACATAAGGTTAACATACAACATCACCAAAACATAATGCATGACTATAGCCATTCAAACCTTTAATACTTTTGACTGAACTTGGAGGCTTTCCACAAGACCATACCACATGTCTAATATATAATGTCCACCTTGACATTACCAAACTATACCCACACTTAACACACAAAAGTAATTAGAAGTCCTTAAACACCTAAATTTTTCTAATTTATAAAAACTATAAATATAGAAAATAAATCTTTTGAAAATGATTGGGATATCAAAAATCTTTAAAAACATATTAAAACATATTAAAATAATAGGAAACAGGGAGAAAGTTCATTTTAACCTAATTGGACCCATATGTCATGACACATGATGCAGGGAGAAAGTTCATTTTAACCTAATTGGACCCATATGTCATGACACATGACACATTCACTGCATCATGTGGTATAAAGAAGGTAATTCCATGTCTGTGTTAT